AGGAACCGCTAAACGGTCCACGAAGCTATAAAAAGGTTATGGTACTTCATCTGTCTCGTCCTTAAGTTTTGCACACCAGTGTAATATCAACGGCTGAGCATCGGCAAATCATTCCAAATCACATCAGCTTCTTGGAATATGTATAAGTAGTTCACGACGGTCTATATTCGGTCGAATTGGAGAAAGATGGCGCCCATACAAAGCACCATACGTGACGCAATCACATTGTATGGCCGAGTTTTTTCAATACTTTGTTATTGATGGTTGAGGGGAGACTCGACACTTCTCAGGAGAGGGGGCCGCGAAATTTTCGAAAATGACTCTGATCAAACATTCTTAAGTCGGAAAACCTCTTAATTCAAAGACAGGGTGTAATAGATAAGTAGTGGGAAATCCACTGAAAACCATTAGGTGAAATTCACTGTAAGATAAAGGATAAAGCATTTGCCGTTGATCAATCCCTTTTTGGGATGCGGCACGCATTCTACTTCCATTTGTACATTCGTAGTGGCGTTTGAATGCGATGTGGCCTATACAATGACTTGCGGGGGCCAGCCGATGTACAAGTCAGTGTTTTTATCCTCCCAGACAAGTCTGGTACCAATTAACCGACCCCGGAGGGATGGAAGGCTTGGTTGGCCCGGGCGACCCAGGATTTGATCCCCGGACCGCTCGCGTGGTAAGCGTGCCACTTGCCACTACACCACTTCCGAAATTCACTGTAGTGAATGAAAAAGAAGGGATAGAGGTTGGTGAGCTTTGGTAGATGTTCAAGCTTCAAAAAACGAAGCGAAGGTTGAAGCTCTGGCTGATGTGGTTGCTTCAAAGAAACACTTTGGCTCGAGATGGCAAACCCAAGCATCACTAGGCGTAATGCCGAAATTTGAGGTGTCTCATTTTTTAGAGATCAAAGGATGTGCAATTGTTAACTTCTATCAAATTCTTAAGAAATCCTCTAACCTGATCATTTTCGGTGATGGAGTTCCCATTGATTGTTGTCGTACATTGATAAAGTTTATTGATCTTCCTGATGTCGCCTTCAGAAAATGCGATACGCTGTCCCATCCGCTCGGCTCCACTCTTCAAAAAATTCTTAAAATATTTCTCTTTGTTCCTTTGTTGATAAAGCCTCAATTCACAATTTTTCTTTCTACTCTATTTTTGTTGATCATATAAATTGCAGAAATGCCGCAATTATGCTGCCCTCTAAATTTCAGTGCGACGGGGAGACGGTCAAGAGTCCCCCGCGACCGCCGCGCCAAAACTAGGTCACCGCGCGCGACGTCGCCGGCGTGCAGTTCATGGCAATTTGCCAAGTTCAGGACCGCCTCTCCAGACGATCGATACAACGCTTTCCTGTTCCTCTGTGTAGGCCCCATTCCTGCATTTGTTTTAGCTTAGTCCTAGCAACTTGATACGTTTCAAGCTGCAAGGACCTGGATACGGTAGCCGCCGCGTGCGGTGACCTACTTTCGCTTGCGCGGCGACCTCAGGGGACTCTTGTATCGCGTCCACAGTGACGCGATATTGTTGTGGAAGGAATTTTAGCACTTTGTGCATGACTGTTATATGATGTCTGGAATTGGTAGGTAGTGTAATAGTGAATTAACTTCCTAGACACAAATGGTCTGAAACCGAAAGCTGAAACGAAACGCTTCAATCAGAATGAGCGCAAAGAGCTAACTTTTAAGTAGTGGATGGCAGCTCGACAGACCGAACACTTGTTGACGAACCTTTGCAGTCCAGCCCTTCCTCGCAAGCAAGGCGTCTCCTCCTCGACTCTTCTCCTGAAACTTGTATATCCCTTTGGCCGCGAAGATCGCGCAGGCCGTACACGCCATCTGTTGGTGTTATCATTTTCATCGCTTACGGGTCAATTGGCCCACGCTATTCTTTTTTGAGCCGCTTTACTCCACTTCTGTTACCGCGAATGTCTGAAAATTGCCAACAAAAATAATCACATTCACTTCAGATAGTACTGTGAGTATGCATACAAGAGTGTCAGTGCTCAAACCAATTCTCATGCAGCTTACCTTCCGCGGCAAAATGGTTTTCCTCCCAGATCCGCTAAATGCATAGGGTCCGTAAGCATGCATCGACGAGTAGGTCACGGTCATGAAGGTGAACTCGATCACTCATGGTACCTGAATGAACCGCTACCAATCGAAATATGATCTTCACTCTTTTTGCAACTTTACTCCTAATCCGTCATCAGCTCCTCTGCTACAGTCGCCACACTATTTTCGATGAACTCATCACGATCTCCTGAAACACTACCAAGTACCTTGAAAAATGGAACCATATATATACAGGGTGGCTACTAAATATTGGCGCATGGATTGTTGACCATATTTTTAAAACGAGAAGCTTTTACATCTTCAGAGGTTTGTCTTTATATACCTTATAACATGGCAGTACAGTGCTGAAGAAAGTGCTCGAGATGGCCTCCTTTGGTAGCAATTCAGGCTTGAAGTCTCTTTTCAACTGACATCACTGTGGGCCGCAAGTAGCTGACGTCAAGCTCCTTCCACGCCTCCTCCAAGGAAGCCTTCAAGGAGTCCAAACTTTGACGTTGCTCAGAAGACATCTTCTGCTTTAAGAAACCCCACACCGCCAAATCAGTTGATTCAAATCGGGCCACTTAGATGGTCAAACATTTTGTGCTCGGTTACTTGGAAAATGACGGTCACAGTTCTCCAACATTGATTTTGCGGCATGAGGCGCCCTGTTTTGCTGAAGAATGCAATGACGTTCGCCGGAGGTCAAAAGAGTCCTTGGAAGAAGAGCATTACGTGAAAATTGTTTCCGAGTAGATCTGGGCGCTGGCTTTAATGTATTCGTCCACAAAGACAAGCGGTGTCATGGTTTCAGAAGTAATTCCTGCCCAAACCATGACAAGTCTGAAAAACGGTTCCCCGTCTGTACACAAGGTCGAGTAGAATGTCTGCTAGCCAGATCCAACAACCGCCTGTCGTTTTGTAAATCGTGCGCCACTTCTGGTCTGAAAACCTACTCACATCACGCCGACGTCGGTTACTTGCGGCCCACGGTCATGTCAGTTGAAAAGAGACTTCAAGCCTGTATCGCCGCCAAAGGAGGCCATCTCGAGCACTTTCTTGGGTAATAAATTTCCATGTTTTATTGTATATGAAAATAAACTTCTTAAGATATGATAGCTTCTCTTTTTGGAAATATGATAAATAAACCATGCGCCAATATTTAGTAGCCACCCTGTAGTTCGTCAGTTATAGGCAGGGTCAGAAGCGGTTTCGCGTGCGCTCATGTGGAGTCACAAACCGCGCCGAGTTGTAATGCCACCCCGCGTGATAACCTGTTTTTGTCATGTGCCGCAATCCCTCATTCCTTGACTCACACTACTGGTGAATGACATGAAAGACAGACAATAATAACTCTACAACAAGGGGAAATGAAAAAAATTGTAATTAATTCTGTGGAGACTGTTGTGATGAATACAAACGTCAACACGAACGTTCGGACATTGCACCGGCCACGATACGCGGAGCCTGCCTACTCTTAACGGGTCCTTGGCCGTAGTACACTGGTGTGCAAAACTTAGGGACGAACGTAGCTTTTCCAACGACGTGTTACTGGCGCGTAACATGACTCTATGGAACCTAACCACACATACAAAGAGCTGCCACAGGGCACTAAAGAAAGCAGTTAACAGGAACCGTTAAACGGTCCACAAAGCTATCAAAAGGTTATGATACTTCATCTGTCTCGTCCTTAAGTTTTGCACACCAGTGTATATACTCTGACGCCATCACAAGATACGGTGGCATTGTGATGCATTTAAAATACCTTGAAACATGTCCTTTTTGATAGAAAAAAAGGCTATGTCTTAGGCGAGGGAGGAGAGACTGGGTGAGTCAGTCATTTCTTTCTTCTCGAAATTCCTGCCTCCTCTTAAGCTTAGTTTTAGAGTATGCCCTCGTATCCTCAATACCCCACTTGATTTATAAACGGCGATATCGAGCATGCTCCTGACGTGCCAGAATACTGCTTTATTGTTGATGTTGAAAAAGCTACAGCTGAGTTCCTCGCTGCCTATCCCAGCCTAGACGTTGCAATTATTCCCAGCTGATCTGAAGTGGATGGAGAGGAGTCCGCTGCTTGCAATGCCTTTTCGATAACCGTTGATCTCATCTTTTCCTAGCCTACACACTTAAAGCCTAAGTACTGACTTCTCACGATACCGATTTTTGGAAAGGAAACGAACCTGCTCTGTTCATGGAAGAAGCCGACGGCATGCATGAGCTCATGTACGATCGTGCCAACTTGAATACAGCCGGAATCTAATGAAACTGGCTGACGCCCTCCGGTCCTGCAAAGATGCTACATAATGATCTGAATTGTAATAATGATCTGCGGGGCGCTGAGCAATTTTTTATGGCTACTACACCGAAAGGGTATAAGCGCGACTATTAGGGTCGTCAAAGCTTTCAAAGACTACAAATATCGGTTATGTTACAGTCTTACAGCTCAGCCCGTACCATCAAATTGAGGGTGACTGCGAAGGTGCTTATATTCAACATGAACACTGCCTTTTATGGCTACTACACCAAAAGGGTACAAGCTAATCTATAGAATTATACGGTCAGAAGATAGATGCTATCCCCTTACGTTCTGCATACCAACGGATCCCTTGCAATGTGAAAGGAGCAGCAAAATGATCGTCGGCCCCACGGCTAGCCTTTTTCACAAAAGCTCCGTAAGAAGGGGATAGAT